ATAGTAAAACCACTCAGGAATGGAAGAGAATATGCGCATCAAGGTTCTCGTTAAAAAAGAAGACGGCAGCACAATCACCGGGACGTGAGCTTTACTGGCCATAACTTTCAAACTCAATCAGGGGTCATCATCGGAGACTGTAAGAATGCAGCGTCGTGTGCATTTTTATACCGTTGTACGGTGATGAGGGGGAATTACGTCCATGACTTGGCGACTTGAGATAATGGGTCACCTCTCCAAACGGCCTGTTTGTGCTCGAGCATTCGTGAGCTTAGACGTCGTCCTGTTTGTCCTTTGTAATCTCAAGGGCGCAAGGACTACGCCCGAAAACTCACATGCGTCCTGCAGATCCTTCATTTTCATGATTTTGCTACGCATGGTAGCCACCGGATGATGGGCTACGCTCACGCCTCACTCTGCCACAGTGCGTTACTTGGTCTCGAACACATTCTTTATGCACGGTAGGGAGGGCAAAATTGTTGCTGCAGGTGGCTTAAATGTAGAACTCGGAGGACTCTGTCGGAGGACTTTCTCACACAAAAACTTGGTTCATTATCCTCAGACCATCTTATTCTTTTGTGCAGTGATTTTAACCGTGTGAGTTTTCGGCCTATTACCCTTCTGGGTTTTGATGACCTTGTTTCATTAAATACACATCCTGACCAATTACCCAAAGCTTTTTTGTATTAAAAACAGAGCTCCACTCTCCGGTTCTGATCACTCAGTGCCACTAGGACTTCCAGAAATCTATTCCACCTCTAAGCGTCAACTGCTTACAAAACCCGAGAGGAAAATTACTGTTCGAGACACATCCGTAGATATGATCCACTAACTGCAGAGTTCGATTATTAGTACCATCCCAACTTTTCTAGCACTACAAAATGCTGAATTATGCTCTAACAATCTTACGCTGTTCTTGAATCACATTTTTGATAGTTGTTGTCCCCGTGAAACTGTTATGGTCAGGCCTGACAGAATCTCCTCACCATACCTCAAACACTTGAGACGTCGCAAAGAAGCCTTCTACAAACTAGGTCAGCGTGACAAGGTGAAGGATATCAATGCTTTAATGAAGAACGAAATTGCCAGACTTAACGATTTATTCGTTAGTCAACTTTTCTCTACTTCATCCACCCCTTCCTCTCCTTTTCCTTCTGCTGAACTGTGGAGGAATCTCAGGCGTCTCATTGGTCAACGTAATATACTTGAACCCATTGACGTAGATTTAAACTCTTTAAAGCGAAATTTTATCTGTACTTCTAACGACTCCCATTCTCGCCCAAACGAAATTTACCTACCACCATGCGACTTTACTCCTGTGACTGTGACAACAGTGGAACAACATCTCAAAAAGGTTCGCGGGTCATCGGCGGCTGGGCCGGACGGTGTCTCTCCTTTTCTCCTTAAGTCTTGCTGTTTGCAGATAGCTCCCGTCTTGACCCACCTTATTAATCTATCCTTCATAGAGTCCAAGATTCCTGACGCCTGGCGTACAGTAAGAGTTACTCCAATCCCTAAAAAATCTTTAACTTTTGCTCCTAAATATTTCCGTCCTATTGCCTGCTCTTCAGTACTTCTGAAACTTACTGAACAAGTTGCATTAGATTCCCTGGCGGGAATACAGTGTCGTAACACTGAAGAAAACTTTTTTCCCCGTCTACCTGTCTTACGGGAATGGTGGCAGGAGGGGTTGTACGGGTGGGTCCTCTAAAACGTGCCAAACAGCAAGGAATATAGTGCGCGATAATTAAAAAAATTACATATCCACGAAAATTTGTTTAAGTGCATCAAAGGTACCTCATAAATGACCTTTAGGGTGAGAAAGCAGCCTATGAGAAGGCCGAAGGGGATTTAGGACCTCATGCGTTAACTTTATTGGCCGGTTTAGAGCGGAAGCCGTATTGGCCTGCGGGCTGACTAATGGGCTGGCGCGAGTGCGCGTGTTGTGCGCGCTGTGCGGGAGGGAATTCATGATTGAGTTTGTGCCGATTCTTCTGAGAAAGACGATAGCTGGGAAATATCAGATACGCGATAATGGTCATGTTCGAAGGACGCGATAGTGCCGTACACAGGACGCCTACGACTTCGATGGCAGTAGGTCGAGCAAGAATGCAAAACAGCAGATTGGGTAAGACAAGTTCACTAAAATTGGTTTGGCTTTGAGGGGAAGTTGGTAGTTCATCTGCCGTAGCGGGCGGCTTATCTAAGCCTAGGTGAGGGTTAGCAGAGACTGTATAATATGGACATCTTAAAAAGATGATCACACGCTCTCTGAACCGACCAACACACTGGTCAATGAAGTTTCCATCGAATTTTGACGGGAACTGTGTGGGGAAGTATGCACTGGAAGGGAAGTAATAATGGTAAGGTAGGTCAGTTAAAGAAAACCCTGCTGATGACATGGCAGCTGTACGTTTTAATGGAATAGCATTGCTGGACATATCCGCATATGGGAAAATTAGTTGTCCAGGCTGGACCGGTATGGCGTACTACTGTAGGTACCAACAGAGCTGACGGAACGTAACAAACTACTTTTACGATCTATCTGACATGATATGTTTCTAATATGAAATCGGAGTTGCAACATATCGCAGGGGAATGTGCAATTTGTGAATACTACGAAATTTCTTCCTACCATGTCGCGTACCACTCTCGGCATACAGCACAAGCCTATCGATGTTCGTAGACCGTGGGTTGTTATTTCGGGGAAATTTACTTTGCATGTATAAAGGTGCGCGTGAGAACAATTAGCTATTGAATGCGTTAGCAGCAGTCAGGAGCACCAGAATTCTTATTGATTTCACATCACGGACGGTCACTCCAACGCGTTTACGATCGTCTCATACGATGTGTTCCAGTGTGAATGCGAGACGACAGGCGAACAAACTCCTTTGAACAACTCCTGTAATCGCAGTAGGTACAGTGTTAAGTAAATAGGACAGAGCATAGAATTCAGGTTAGCAAAAGTAAGAGATCCGGGTCGGTAATCTGAGGAGAATGAACTAATTATAATATTACCACAACTACTAATACTGCCATAAATAATACTGCTGTCAGCCCAACAACGACGCCAACAACAACAACAACCACTACCACCACTGATACGGCGAATACTACTCATACTCCTACTATTAGTACTACAACTACTACCACCGCCACCACGGCTGCCAATGCTACTCGACCAACGCTTACAGTATAGGTAACTAAGTGCAATAATACTAGCATCAGTAACGGCAATGGCTATGAACGTTCTAATAGAATAGAATAGAATAGGTTTATTGTAGCGCCCCTTAGGCACTGTCAGTCCATTTTGAACTCAGGAAAAAAACCTAAAACAAACTCGTCAATTTCAACTGCACTTTGACTTCATTTGCTTCGGGTGTCTGGTTAGCCAAAAGAGCGCGAATTGAGAGTTTGTTTTAAGTTAAAAAAACCTCAGTTCTAAGCTAAAATAATAACAAAATTTTCAAAAAATAACGATATGTATAATATAAAAATTGAAGTTTGCAGTTTGGTAGTTTTCGGGGGCATGAATAATATGTCCTTCATGGCAATTGAAGAACTTTGATATCGTTCTGAGCTAAATCCTATCAACAGAAAGCGATTAACAATACCGTAAATACATAAATAAATAACCTCTGCAGGGGATAGTAGAATGAGAAATTAGGGTAAGTGATAATACTGCGCACAAACGCAAGCTATACTTTGGAAGAAATACGCACGCACGCCCGACAGGAAAAGCTGAAGACGCCGAAAATTTAAAATACTATAGCTACTTAATTCAATCAGTAGGCGTTCATTTTTTATCTCGTAACACTCCGATTCGCGGCGAATCGGAGTGTTGCGACACTGGTATCCAACCCTTTTTTTCTTCATATATAATTATGTCCACCTGTCCAATACCTGTTAATCTCTATGGCAATCATTGTGTACTGGAGAACGGTTTTTGCTGAAAGTTTTGAATGTTATTTTCAAAATAAAGCATTCCTCTCTCTCTCTCAAGACGGATTTTCGCGCCTTCTAGAACAAACATCTAGCGGATTTGGGTCAAAAACTGGGGCTGCTGCTATTTTGGAGGCAGGCACGCTCGATGGCATATAGTACGAACATTACACGTTTTACCACTTTCGAACAGTGAGCGGATGGTTTTAGGAAACTCGCAGTCAGCTCACCGAGGTCCTTTGGGCTTCGACGTCTCGTAAGGCTGCGCAGTCAAGAAAGTTGTCTCGTGAGTTGGCGGATCAGGCCGAATTGCCTAGGCGAAGAAGAGCACACTTACCAACGATAAGCCGCATTGGCCAACGGCCTGAACCCTTTACCAGCCGATTAAGGTTCATCTGCAGCCTGTCTTCGTTGGCAGGGCCCCGGGTTACACTCCATACCTTCAAGTCGTACGCGAACATTGCTGCTTCGCTGTCCAAAGATTTAGTCAATCATCCATGCACATTAGGAGAAAAATGGACCCCAGTACTGAACCCTGGAGAACACTACTCTGGACAATAGCAGAATGTGATTTTCTTTGACTGATGCGCACAACTTGCTGGCGACCAACAAGGAAGTTTTCAATCCATTTTAAGAAATTGCCTCTGATGCCTACATTTTTCAGTTTTTGTAACAGTCTCTGGTGTAACACAGTGCCGAACGCCTTCTGGAAGTCAATAAAGGCGACGTAAGTATGACAATGAAATGTAGGGTGACGCAGAAGATTAGCCACAAGGGTGATCGTGGTCGCAGTCTCTTATGCATAGCACCTTGTAGTGGCCAATAGGATAAAAGCTGAAAGGTGGCTAGCATGGCGCAGTCGTGCCGGTGGGTAACCGACATTGCGCTAAGAGTCAGGGGCGACTAAACCAGAATCAGAAAAACTGTGGCTTCATCTCCACAATACCTTGCCGATTCAGTTACATGTCAAATTTGAAGCCACAGGAGCCCGAAGTCAGTTGGTCAACGAGCAAACAGTGGAAAGCCCGGGGAATTTAAGGTGGTTGTCGGTTTGACCAATGGGGTCTCATGACTTTGGTGAAGCCGATTGTTGGGGGCCTGCACTTGTTAACGATGTGCAAATTCAGGTTAAAGTGAAAGTTCCGGTTTTTGTAGATATTCCAAAACCCTTACAGCAAATTCGTCTTGGTAAAAATGAATATGAGGTTAGTATGTTTTACTCTATACTGAGTTTGCGGTCATTCCATCTATTTTATGGAACTCATTGTATCACAAAGCATAAACCTACTTTACAGCAAACCGGTTTTATCCATTTCGTCAACGCGCGAAATTGCGTAATTGCAATCTGACTCATGACCGCACGTATGACCTGTTGTCCAAGTTCGCACAGTCATTAAGTTCAGGGCGTTTGTTGTTCACTGCGTTCTCAAACCTTACTTTTACCATGTGCGGACATTCAACCATCACAGCAGCTTTGACTGGAATAGACGGCAGTATTCCTTTATGGCTACTGCTCTTCAGTGCCGTCATCGAGCTCTTGCAACCATCGCAGCTAGGAGCGTCTGCCTCCCCACTGAGGCGTTTCCAAGGGAAAATGTTTTCTGTAATACAGGGAGCACCGCTGTCCGTAAGTCAGTAACGGGTCCCACCTGCAAAGCGCGTCGTGAGTGGTTGAATCGCATTCATAAATGTGCACGTTCCAGTGGGCTGCTAGGCTCATCAGCCCTCTGACAGAATGTCAAACAGCCATTTTGATGCGCTCGCGGTTTGTTTCTCTTCATCAACGTCATGCCTAAGGGTGTAGACAGCAATCATAGATGTGTTAGCGATTTCATTTTTTGGCTGAGGGCAGATCGTGTTGAGAAGACAGGCTCGCACATAGTCTGTACCACTTGTCCTTCGGTGCATGAACCACGCTTTGGCACTGTGATGGAGGTGACACAAGATGCCAGGTTCCCGTAGGCTAGGCGCCCACATGATTCCAGAACTGGGTCCCAAGCGTGCATGCGATATCAACCCCATTGTATGGAAGCGTACGTCTGGTCGTTTTTGTAGGTCCATTGTTTTCGAAATCATATTCTTAGCAGGCAACGAAAATTAACTGTCGTCTGAGGACACTCGCTCGTAGCCTTTACACCTCGCCTACTATCACAGGTTCGGGCGGCCTAGTACGCTTTTTCACATGTTATGGACTTCAGCGGCAAGTCGAGACGGCTTTATCCAGCCAATGCCTTGGGTTCTCCGAGTTCTAATGGTAAAAACCTCAACCGGAAAGGAGACGCCAGTGGACTTGCTCTAGCTTAAAATACGAAGCCGATGTACTGTTTGTTCTGGTTGTACTAGCTGTCAGATTTTGTTTTTGCATTCGACCTTACTGAAGCCACTATTCCATAACCCGAAAACTGCCATTAGTTTCACATGGTTTTGCTAAACGGATTTGTGCTAAATATATGAGTCCGTATACTATTACCTCCTTTAGTATGATTTTGCCCTGGAACGTCGCACTATCGAGGCATACACCAAAGCGGTTGCGGAGGAAAAGCTACAAGCTTCCACAGGTGCGGCTGCGGTGTCGGCGACGGCAGCAGCAGGCGCTTTGAAGTTCAGTAATGTAAAACGCTTCACACCAAACAAAACAGAACCTCTTCAACCACAGCGGACTGATCCCTCCCCAGCCGCTGCCGAGGAGGGGGCTTTGGGGTCGGGGATCCCTACTTCCCTAGTAGAACCCACCGCACGCGGGGGCACGCCGACGGCCGGCCGTGTCGTGGTCGCACCCGCCGTGGTGAAGGACTTTGACGTGCCTGTGGATGACCCGTTTGATGTAGCCGAACTTAACACAATCAACGACTTAGAAGAGCTGCGCGATGTACTGACCACTTTGGAGACGCCAACAAATGTTATCAGCACGGAGTTAGGTAATGCACAAGAGAACGGTCGGCATGAAGATGGCACAGCTGCCGAAGTAGACTCTTTGCCAGTTGGACAGCCGCAACAGTGCCAGAACGCGCTCACCTCTCTCCTGATGAAGTATCATTTACATAATTCACGTTCTTTGCCCGGCAGCGCTGAGCGTTCCCTGGATCAAACGACCAAGTGCAAATTTGGCAGTTTAAAAGACATCACATTTCCACAGATCTGCCCTGATCAAGACTCAAATCTATTGGATCCGAAAAGGTCTATCGATCCTCCAGCATACAATCAGGCCGCATCTTCTGCACCGAGTTCCCGGACTGACCTACGTTCTGTTGATGAACCCGTTAAAGCGGACCAGACCATCCAGGCTTTGCCAAGCCCACAGCTTGCTGGGAGATCCGAAGACTTAATTAATAAATCCAGTAGTTCCTTCGCGGAGAACTTTTATTCTCCCGAGAAAACCGTAAGTCTGCGTTTTTTGTGGTTAGTGGGTGTTATTCTGCTCAACTCTTGGTACTGCCTCTGTCCTGTTTTCCATGCTGTTTGGAATCCTTCGGATTTTTCTCTCGGCTACATATACCTGTTTGGCAACATCAGATTTCGCATCGTGCCGCACAGATGGTTAAAAAAACCCTAACTTCTTCTATTATGGGTGTTAAGTGCCTTAGGCACCCAGGTATCAATACTGATAACTCGCATGGATTCTTTGCATTTTTACGAATTCGAAGCTTGTCCGCTTTTTATTCATATGCCAGTCTTGGTTTTTAGTCTGCATTTGCCCTTGGGAATTCTGCGGAGTTCGTGGAAACGTAAGATAGGAAGTCGTGTTAGTTTGTCTATCTCAATGCGAGGTACACATTTGTTTCTGGCTTTTTATGCACCCACTGCGCCTGTTTCTATATTTTTTCGATCAGGACCAGTTTTCCTTCTCACATGGCGGGGTTTTTGCCCCCAAACACCGTACCCTAACATTATTAGGGGTTACATTCGTCTCTTTCAGTGGAATTTTCGTGTTCTTCAGACATCAGAGAGAAATGTAGTGATTACATTATTTCCGTGTCCGTTGTCCTTTTGATGTCCAACCAATTACCCTCTCCTCTTGACCGATCTTTACGCAGACCACACACGTTATAGCTACATCATCTATAAGCAATGCAAGCACAGTGGAGGCTGTTATGCCATGGGCTTTTGAAGACACCTATTTCCGAGCTGTCGTGAAGGACTCGCTTCAGGAGTACGCCGCAACGTTTGCGGTCAGTCAAGCTTCTCCCACCCCAGTAAGTTGACGCTGCTAAGGAAGGCCTCGACGGCGGCCGCGTTAGTCAGCTCCGACTGCCACATGGCCTCATGGCCTCTTCGAGATGGATAAATTTAAAGTTCTGTCCACGTTCTGACATCAGTTTCGGTAAAAAGTTTGATCGGCATATGCATGGGCGAGAAACATTTACTAGCGCGAATCGGACTGAACTGTTCTGCATGTCTCGCAGTTCGCCATCTGAGATTAATGATTACTAAACCTAGTCAGGTAATAGATTGGTCTACTGAGCACTTTCACAGGATCTGTGTCGGCACGTTTAACGGTGGTGACAAACAATCCCGCAACCGCGTTCTTGTAAAGTTCTTGTCGGCGCACGTCCAGTGTTCTTTTGCTCAACCAAAAGCTGTCCGTTAGTCGAGCAGTTGGCTACCCGGCACGTCCACGGGTGGCAGATAGTTAAATGGTTTTCTGCGAAGCTTACTTGCGAAATAAGCAGGTTCTGGGGTGTGCCGAATAAGTAGTCGCGCATCAACAGCGACAATGCTACCAAGCTGCGAATGTGAAGTCCGGTACTCCGACTGCCATATAAAACACCGCTAAGCCCGATGAGGGCATGGTAACATGGAGACCATGAACCTCCATTAAATAAGTTTGCTTGTCACCTATGCCTTGTGGTTAGGATCTGGAGCCACAGCGCTAAATGAGACAATCTTCTAGAGGCTTTTGAGGATTCTCCTATACCCAAAATCCCCGATAAACCTTAATAAAATGTCCGACTCCAGCATTGCGATCCATGTTACGGCGTCCATGGGAACCGGCGAACTCCGCAACCCGGTTCAGTGGCGTGCGAATAGTTTTTCAGCCGAACTAATTAGTCGGGGACGGACACCTAGTATTAGATGCTGGAATGTTCGAATGTTCCCGGACCCTCTTACCTAATGTCTAATAACACATAGTCTTCATGAGCACAGTGCGGATGTCTGCTGCTAGTCCAGCGTTTGGACATCCGACCCAGACATCCAGGAAAACAAATCGACTACTTCCTAGTCGATTCTAGGTTCAACAGCTAGGTTAACAATAATACATCGATGCGTGGTGCCAAAACTAATAAGGCTCATGGGCCGGACCATGTTCTCATTCAGACACGCCCGAAAGTTCGCTTCTCATCGACACCAAAATTGTCATGCACAGGACGCCTTCATATTGCAAAACTAAGCAAACCAATACAGTCGAGTCTCTAAGCATAGAAATCTGGTTTTGTTTTACGACCCAAGTCAAAGGAGAGAGTAGTAGCCTATAGTCATAATTGAAGCCAGCTGTCTATGGAGCAGTTGGGAAGATTTTTGGATTCACCCAGCGGCTCCCCAGTGACAGCATCAGCGGAAAAGCGTAGTTTTCTGCCAGACGGCTTGATCCAAATCCCGCCAACTCCAGAAGATGACGGTATAGTCGGTTTGAGATGACCGCAAGAAATATCGGACTTAAGCGCTTGTGACGCTCGAACATTCTGACGAATTACTCGTCCACTCATGGGTACGTCCTCTGCATTGGCTGCTTGTGGTGTGAATACTGGCTTTATTTCTGACAAATCGACCAGGGTTAGTCACTAGTGCGAGCACTTCTAACACCTTAACCTCGCTGATCAGCCTATCACGCTATCGTTCTCCTCTGTAGCAGAATTTTATCGCCCTTCAACCTATGCAGTGTAATGCGACGTTCCCCTTTGGGTGAGAAGTCGCCGATGGAATACGGGAACCTCATAACAACAAGGCGCTCGAGGAAGATGCTATTTTCTCTTAGACCTACAAGTCCTGTGTCGAGACGGATGAAAATCAGGGAGAGGTCGTTCCTAATGTCTACTACTCGGGCATCCTTGTGGATGTCTTCAGGAAGGAAGATAAGACAAAGTACAACCACCACGGTACAAGCCTAGTCTACCTTGCCACGAATACCTTCACGGCCGTCAACCTCAGGCGATTCCGGAGTCTACGTGACTCGAGGACAAAACTCAACCAGGCCGCGTTCCGAGCTGGACGTGGATGCGTGTTCCAGATATTCAAACTTTGACACATCTAAATTTCTCCATGATTAAGAGTGACCAACAGCCGCCCGCTTTGTCGATTTCGCCGCTGCAACCGATTCCACCCATCGTGGGTTCATGTGACGGATAACAGGACTAGACGTAATGCCGGCAAAAATCACCATGTCCAGGATTTCTATCCCTCAATCACTGTGCGAGTTCTCGTCCTTAAAAGTCTCCCAACCTTTCGATATTTGATCTGGCGTTCTACAGGATTCTATCCTGTCGCCCACTCTGTTCATCTGCACCATGGACTAGATTCTCGGAAGGGCTGTACACGGTGTTGGCGGTATTGTGTTTGCACTTGAGGCCTTCTAACTGATCTTGACCACGCAGGTGATGTGGTGCTGCTAACGTCGAGCTTTCATGATCTACAATCTGTGGTGTCACGGCCGAATGGAATCGGTAAGTCAGTTGGTTCATCGATTAACGCTTGGAAGACCATAGTGTTCTCGAGTTGCATCCATGACCTGGTAGAGACAACCCTCGGAATTAATCACCGTCAACTTAAAGAAGTAGATAGTTTCAAATATCTCAGAGCGTGGCTGCCACCGAGTGGGCAGCGTAAGGACGAAATCGTCTCTCGATTCGGTGTTTGCAGGGTTTTCCCAGTCCTTAGAAAATTTCCGTGGACCCGACACGGCATTGTTGCTACAATTATCTGCATGTACGGGCATCCGTCCGCTCAGTCCTCGTATGCGGTTGTGAATACTGGGCTGTATGTATGGAAGATGAGCAAAGGTTGAGGTTTTGACCACAGCAGCCTGAAAACCATCCTTTGAATGAGGTTCATCGATATTGCCTCCGATGAGACAGATCACTGTCACAGAATTGTAGGTTTATGGCAGACTGCCCAGGATAGACGACTGAGGTGGTTTGGTCACGTCCGTCATCCACCTCATGAGCTCAGTGCTGCTGCCGGCGCCGTTACAAACCTGCAGGCGTCGAGGAAGAGGTCGCCTCCAAACCTGGCCTCACAGAGTTCGTCAAGACGTGGTTCTTGGGCATTTCGTATTCCGTCTCAGTCTTTAGAGGGGAGAGAATATGTTGAACACTTCAGATTAACTGCCGCAGATCGTCACGCGTGGAGAGGTACAATCCGTGATACAATCGAGACCGTCTAGATTAGGTATGATTTCACGTATGCCAAGTAGAAGTACGAACACAGTATCTTAAAGTAAAGAAATCCATCGATTGTCGTAGTCTTCCATACATTCGGACTTGAAGTTCGTCCCTTTTCCCATAGCCAATCGTGCACATTTTCTAGCTTATTCCACGGTACATGTAGTAACCAAGGTGTTCACTAACGACTAGATTGAAGTAGACTATCCTAAATTGACCATGACTGCCTGTGTTGGTATTTAATGATGTTCTACTTGTAAGTATGCTGGATAGCACGCGTGGTGCCAAGTAGTTTGATACCTTTTCAACCTATTCTTAGATTTACCTATTGAACGCTTTTCTTTGTTATGGTAGTCAGCGTTATCTAAAAAATACTTTTCCGTTGAAAATGTTTTTGGGATAATCATTCACGGGGTCAACAGGTCGTTAGTTTTCAACGCATATTTTAAACCAGTTTGTCAGTGTCTGAGAGATTTACTTGCTCGTCCTCGGGAAAGCGTTCTCCGAGACTTAATGGGGTATTTGGTGACTGCGTTTAGTGAGCCTTGCTCCAGATGTGGTTTAACATCCCAGTAATCATTGCAGACTTAACTTTCTGGTTGAGTTAAATAGATGGAAATTCGGCACGGGAATATAGATCAAAAGAAATTGACTTCAGTACACGCCAACACTGGGCAGAAACCAACTGAACTAGTGAAATTTGTCTTAACGCAGAGAGGAGTACTTACGTGGGCTTACGGTACCACTCCACATTAATTTATAAACCCTGGCATGCAGTATTCCCAGATACATAGTGAATTTTGCCTAATTGGGTTTCTCGGCAATTGGGACAGTCGTCTATTTGGGGAGACTGCTGAAAAGTGAAAGCATGCCCCGTGATGCACTCTGCCTACTCCACCTAATTTGGCCAGTACTGAGAAGTTAGCCTGTGTTTAAGACCAGTAATAAATTTGATACCAGGAGATGTTTCTTTTTTTCCAAAATGGAAACGGACGGAAAACATACACTGCTTATGCAAATGCCGTAATAGGAGTTCGTGGATGGGCTGGGAAAACGAGTGACTGTTCGAGAGTTTTGGATCCTCCTCGGCAATTTTCAAGCTGTTGCCAACAGCAAGTCGTCACTCGGAGTGTTTATTTCCTACGCAGTATTTTGGTACGAATAAGGTCCACACAGGTAGCTGGTAAGACTTCCTAGTGTCTTTACTGCCTGCACCTTGTGTAATTAATTTCAAGCTCTAATCCATGCCATTTGGTTTAACGCGCCTACTTGAGTAGTGCATTATACCTGAAGACGTACTTAGTTAGTCACCAGTCTTTCGCTGAGATGATATATAAAGTATTCATCCGTTATTGAGATCGAGAAATGCTGCTGACAAGAACAATAGACCATAGAATTGCCAGTTCCGGCTTATTTGTTATTATTGGTCAGCCACATCCAAACCCTCGACCGGGAGGGCTTTATATCTGACCCTGGGTCGGTTGGTCCTGGAGCATTTGAGTCAATCTCTATCAGTTGGACCAGAAACGTACGTCTAACTGACTGCCAACATAAATGTTCGGTCGCAGAAAGGGCGTTCATGGATGTATACCAGATTGCAGGGTGATGTATGACGGTGATGTTTTTCTTCGGAGCCCCAGTGAAGTCATCACAGGCAATTGTAGAGTGATGAGAAAATGTTACTGACAGAGGCACTGGGGACTACTGCGGCCATTTCTGGCCTTTTTACCGTTATCGATCAGGAGTGTTTGCAACGGAATCTCTTAACAAAATGGGGGCGCATTTTTCTGCCCTGAAATTAAGTACGCAGAGTCGCTATTTACATGGTCTCCAGTATCGAAAAAGAGTTGCATACTAGTTTATTTCTGAATATAACAAATCTCATTTGTGAAATTGTTGATTTCGATGATTTCTTTAAAAGGAAACTTGGTTTTCAGCGTGTAGTTATTTTAAGAGCATTTCGAAATAACTATTTATGTTATGAAGCGACAGGACGAGGCTAACGAGCGGTCGCAAAATTTTATAGTACCATTAAATCCTGTCCTGCTTTAATCATCTTCCCCATGTGTATTAAGACATCACTGCGATTGACGGGATTCCCCTTTCCCCATTATCACAACTGCCACAAGTCACTTCACACGTTTTTTAGTTTGACATCAACAACTCTTTCTAGTAATCTATCTCCTTAAATCCCCCAAGGTGCTTGCCCAAAGTACTAAACGTCCCCAACCTCGCTATGCAAAGGCGGTTACCTGTGCGAGTGACGTAAGTGCCAAGTAACATTCCGCTGCGTAGGTAGGCCTGACTGGAGACTTTTGATTATGATCGAGGCTTTATAGTTAGCCAGTTCTAAATCTCAGCGTTGCCGGCACGTTTCTAGAAAAACAGCTGCATTCCCAACTGTACTCGTTGTCTTTCTTAGCCGGTGAAGCCAAATGGAAATACGAATAAGTGCAGCACAACAAGGCGCCTCCATGGCCGGTCTTGTGAGATTGACGCCTGACTCTGCAACGAAGCCTCAACGCGTTCCGTGCAGTACTGGCCAGTATTTCATTGCATTCAGAGAATACTTTGATATAATTTGATAATCCGATGAGACCAACGCTACTTTACGTTCTTCTTTGCTGGGTCAAATACAGCTCCATCATCCACCGCTGTTCCACCACCCCCATGGAAACCGACAGAAAAGACTTCAAATGAATAGAAAACGGCCGACATCAGGCCTTTGCTGAGCGTGTTGTAATTCTCGTTTTTGTGATTATGACGACTTGAACCCATTGTCCGCGGCATATTCGTGATCCAGTCCTTGCTGCATTTTCGAGACGCACGCCCCTCATTGACCACCACACAAGAGTATTCAGTAGATTTTCAGGTAGTGGGACCAATAGATCAGTTTGAGATCGATCAAGAGCGAAATTTGATTTGTCTAATTTATTCCCTTCCGGATTCACCTGTTCGGTTTTGGCAGTTTCAACAACATTAACTTGAGAATATGTCATCTGTTCCCTTTACTTCGAGACGAGCACTTTATTTTCTGATCCAGCGAAAGTCAAACATCAGGTCCATGCTAGAGCGCTTATGTGAACTGGATTGTGGCGCAAAAGGCCTATAGACTTCAAGTAGATAATCGGTCAGCATATATGTTGGTTAATTTAAAAGTACGCCTCTTAGGTTGCTGTTCATTTTGCACATAATTTAGATCTGGGTTAGAACATGCTTGTAGGTGCTTTCTGCGTCTCTGCATCCGAAATATAACCAAATGTGACCTAGCCTTAATATAGTTGATGAAGCAAATGCAACCAACTCGCAGTCTGATAAGTAGTATGCTCAACAACCTAACTTATCAGCCCACGAGAAAACCCAGTCTACTCATTGGACCCACTTGTGAGAACCTCGGTAGTATTCGAACTCGCGATACTAAGGGCTAAGCTTGAGTATGGCCAACGTTCCGACCGCGTGAGCTATGAGGCCCCGATCGGGAACCGTGAGTTCAATCACCTTTTGAAGTACAGAATGCATGCTTATGCAAATAACTGAATAAATTGAGTAGCACAAGCGCAACAGCATTTTAAAAAGCGTTCTTTATAATCCCCAGAGTAAATACCTTTCAAGAATTAGTGTAATATGCAGTTTGAAAGCTAGCAAACTGTTTTACATCTGACTGTACCTTAAGGGCTACTCGTTTAAATTCACAGACTAGCTGTTATACTTTGGTGGCAACTTATAAGTACCCTTTTACAGCACTTTTTGCTATCCCCTTTTACGGTGCCTCAGCGAACTACGATTCTACCGGAACTTAGGTCAGTAACGACAGCGGAAACGGTGCCAGTGGTCGCAAACGGAGTACAGCCCCCTACCGACATCGATGCCCTCATAACTTGCGCGGTAGAAATGGGCTTCAGCCGGTCACGTGCTCAACTTCTTGCCGAAGCTACATTCCGAAGTGGTAAGTTATCACTACTTTGTCTCTCCTTATTCTTATGGCCGTGCTTTGTCAGTTCCACTGAACCGCTAATCCATCTTGTCTATTTTTATTGGTGACGTCCGAATACCCCAGTCTCCTTGTATCTGCCTCTCACATTTAGCACGACTCTATGTCTTAACTTAGAGTATTTGAGAGCCGTGACGTTGCTTTTCACAAGGATGGTAAAGGCGGATCGAGCACTAGGAGGAGAGGTTATTTGTTCCATGCTTTCGAACTTTTTTCGAGTCCATCCGCAGGAATGGGAGCAAAAATAACGGGAGACCAGTTTTATTGTGGAAGTTAGCCAACTAGATCCCCCTGCTATCCTGTAAACGGCTATATAGACTCTGTTGGCGGCCGCCGATAATGCATTTGGTCGCTGTCCTTCAGTTGGACTGCGTAGAGCTCTGCAAATCCGAACGCTTAGAAAATGCTTTTTTTTCGGCCCTCGACTCTACATGCCTAGGTTCATTAGACCTTTTTTGGAGATCGAATTTCATCATAGATGCAGAAATTTTCACAGAGCTTACACCTCCTCTCCACATATACCTTATTTTGTTTGCTTTAGTGGAAGATAATCACTCATTTATTTGGTGAACTATCATTCGTTTTTCCCATCATAGCCACTTAGGCCGCACTAGGAAGTCTTAAGTAACTGAGTATTCCAATATGCACTGAATTAACTGAAGTCGGTTAAGTTCAACGGGGCCTTTACGAGCAGATGTTTATTTGCCGCTATGGTTCGTTTTGTAGCGACAAACTTATAATTTTACCATAATAAATGAGGCTTTTTGTGCGACAATATACCCTGAAAATGCAACGTATTTATAGGAAAGGTTGTACACGCGAGGTGGATACTGATGCGCCCACATTCTAACTCTACCCTTCTTCTCCGGGCAAAGATATTTCCGCAATTAATGGACTTTGGCGGTGCGGCTTATGTAGTGGGACTTGGGTCATCCATCATTAAAGTAGCTGGCTCCCGTTCAAGTTCCGGGCTTTTACGCTTCGCACAATGAAGTAGTCTGCCATGCGAACGGTCCGAAATGATCTTGCTTTGTGCAGTCTACCACTTTGGGTGAACTCTATCTTCGATGAGTGTGTTTCCCCTTTTATGCTCTCCCAAGGTTCCACCGCCGACAACGAAATTAGCTCTCGCGATCGGGAAAAGATTTTCATCACTCAGTTGGTCAACTTTTCCTCCCTGGTGGACACTGAGGGCGTCAGTGAAGATTTTGCGAAAACCGCGGTCATAGTTTCGCCAAACGACTTAGGCAAGGTCAGTGGTGCCTTTCCGTTGATAACTTGATTTTATGCCCCAAAGGATCCCACAGACTTTCTTTTATAGCAAAATGGGTATGCCATCTACCATGCCACAAGCATGCATAAGATAGCCACACTAAGTCTATTATGGAGGCCTCGCTTTTCTGCGGGATCCAGAAAGGGCTTCCATCTCGAGAGCAGCTAATTTTGGTCATCATTTTACAGTACATTACCGAACTGATGTGATTTTTGCCCGGAAGCGTGTTATTATTACGAAACTTGCGTGAAATGGAGGCTTTTTCCTGTCACCTTGTCCTTTTCCTAGTATTCAGACTTGCTTGGGCGCTGTTCATAGCTAGAATTCTGGTTTTTCCAACCTTTTTTAAAACTTCTGTGGAGTAGGAGCACACGCAGATCTTCAAAAGATTCTGTCTTTAGACGGAGAGGCCGTTCGGATGAGTTCACTTTGTGGGGGTCATGGAATGTCAGCAGCCTGATGTGATGTGCGTGTAATATATCCGTACAGCCATCTCGCTCAATCTCATTTTTAAGTTCTCATAAGTATAGCAGCACCCCAATGGGAGCGAAAGGGTCAGGCGGCTGCCGCTCAATGTTTTTTAACCGTCGTTCAGAGAAGATGCGTTTTAGTGATCATGGGCCTCGAAGATCGTACCTTGAATTTGTGCCGATGTGAGTCACACTGTGTTGGCTTCCCGATCCGCTTCTGCCATTATCCGGGTTATTTATAGCACCCGACCACCTCTCCATCCGACTTGACCCAGTCACACCGCCGTGGCATATTCGAACTGGTAACAGAAAACGAGTATCCTTTTATACATGCTTTCATCAGTATAATTATCTTCATGGGCACATCCTCGCCGTTCACTTACGGTGTGTCCTCATTGATCATAGTGGACGAACCACCTAAAAGAAGTCATGTTTGACAGTTTCTCAGCCGACAGGACGAGGGACCAGGTGCTCAACGGCAGAGCGTTGGGTTTACTAACACTCGATGACCTAAGAACAAAGATTTGAATCCCAGGTCCCGCAAACCTGGAGTACGGTGTGGCTGGCTGACGACGGCTAATGAACCAGAAACGGCCATCCCAGTCTTTCTTGTTTTTGTCGGTATTTATTTTACATAATTGCTTATTGAAATGTGACCGCCTTCGTGGGCTCTAGATTTGGCCCCAAGGCGCAACAGGACGAGCCTGTCCCGTAACCTGATTGACGAACGCACTTCCGCCACAGTTTACCAATTCTTCGAAAAAGCGATGCAAACAGTACCGGCCCATTAGTGTTTAACGCAGCGCTACTTTGGTATGTTGCTTGAAGCACATTTTCTGTTTCCATCCCCCAGCTTCAACCTGGTTGGCCATGGGAGCCGGGCTCACTGGGCTAACTAGCATGAGTTCTAAACGTTTCATGGCATCTCGTTCACCTTGTTCCTAACCGTCCTTAGTGCGTCGTGCATTGACTCAGTGTCGTCCGTGCACTATTTGCGTATTGTTTTGCTACAATTCGCATTCCATCTCCCTATTTTTCTCCGCTTACTTGCTTTTTCCGCCCCCTCTTGTACCTCAAAGCTTACTGACTCACCTCATTCTTATCGTTATTTCCTTCCGTGTGTCTTTCTTGCCGTTCCTCCCAGGTCTCCTATGACCGTTTTATCTAAGCACCGGGCGTCTCCATTTTTCGCGAACCACCTTTTTCCCTTTTGCCTTTTATCCACCTTATTCTCTCCAACTCTTGTTTTCGTGCCTGCACTCCGCATGATTTCTCTTTTCCTTTGGCCTCCCCCAACCACTGGAAGCGCATTGGTGTGCTCTCCGATCACGTGTTTCGGAGTGCAGTGAAAGTTTTGGTGGAACGCCGTACTACAAGTGGCTTAGGTGAGATTAGGGTTAATTTTACTATTAGGCTTAAGTTTAAAGTTAGGGCACGGGAACAGGTGCCCCTTGGAATTTACCGGAGGCCACTTGTGGTACTGGAGTGGGGGCGTATTCTCTTGCCCGACCACTGTTTCTTTCCAAGCTGTGACATTGACGTCTTTCTTTAGTCTATCCAACCGTTTTCCGCATGATTCGAGAGGCCTCGTATCACGCAGAACCTTTTTTGTTCATTGAGGTTGAGATTAAGACATTCTGCCTGCCCAGATATTCATTGGACACTATAGTTGTTGCTCTTGTTCTTCTAGTCGTCCGGTTCTCTGTCAAGGTCACATGGAACCTTTCTCGACTCGAAAAACAGTCCTTTTCTTTTTTGATTTCTTACACTTTTACTGTTCTATTTTTTTACGTCGATGCTTTTTTAAGCTGGCAGGGAGATAATTTCAGGTCTTCTTTCTGGCGTTTTAACTAAGTTGATATTTTGGTGCTTTCAGTGTGGACCGAAAATCCCGCTATTTTTAAAAGTTTAATGGCCTTTATTTGTGTGTAGGGCGTTCGAATGTCATAAAATTAATCAAAAGGAGGATTCTGTGGGACATTTTTCTTGTTCTACCGCACGCACAATTATTTGCAAAACCATTGCAAAATGTCGGTCAGTTTGCTTTTAGGACTTTAACTTTCTCATAGGGAACAACCGCTATGACGTTAAGTTAGGGTTAGAGGCAGTGCCTTTTTATGGGCATTGGTTGACTCTTAACCGTTCTCTGACACTAGGGCTGAACAGTGTTCGCTTAACTGGATCAGGTAGTTCTTTACA